ACATATGATCATAGTGATCAAACATTCTTACAAAGACATTAATATGGAGATACGGATATTGAAGTTCAAACTCCACAGACCCCTTCAGATAACTGGATATCTTATATTGTCAATGAAGCATGTTATTATTGATTTTTTAAAGTAGGTGATATAATTGCTCATCAATGAGAAACACAAACACAAGCAGTGCTACCCCAAGGATAAGACAAACTTAGACATCAATTATCGTGGACAAAAAAACAATTTTTCCTCAAGAAGCACAAAAGTGAAAGGAACGAGTTCCAGTCACACAATATGACATCACATGCTTATATATGATAGAGGCACTGCCTTTGCTTTACATAATCAGATAGTCCTAATTCCATTTCTTATAGTAATAGTAGTAAAAAGAAAAAAGCCAGGAAAAAAGTGCCTAAAATTTTCTATAGATGACCTGTTTTGTTAAAGTTCGGAATCAATACTCAACTCACTTTAACGGATAGACAACCCCAAAATAAATCACAAGTTTTGTCAGCAGAAAATTCAATATCAAATAGACCAGTACAAAAACCTGTGATTTTTCAAGCAATAGAAATGACAGCATAGCAAAAAGATGAAACATGGAACTCACCAGCATAATTTCCTTGCGGATTTGAATCCGGATACAGTGATTCAAGACGCTTCACCGGACCCCATAATCTTCTGTGAGAGGGACTCTGCAGCACAAATAACAAGAACAAATATTTGAAACAGAAAAATAAAGGGACAAAGAACAAAATTAAAAAAATATCGACAAATGAAAACATAGTCCAAAAGCACATTGGCCAATGAATCGAATACATAGGAGCGACACCGTGCTCCAAATTCAGTTAAACGTGGCAACCGACTGATCCGAACCAATGAACAAAAGCAACGCTGTTAAGCTTATTTCCATGAAAAAGGAGAAAAACAGAAACCAGCACAGCATCTAACTACAGAGCCACACGCGGAATATGACAGGGAATGTTGTCCCTTTGTCATTTTCCGGAGCACAAAGCCAAAACTTCGAACCAACAACAGTCCCTAGAATGTTGGGGATACCAGAGCAATGCAAAGGTAAAACCCCACTTGAAATTGTAGAAAAAGGTGAGATCTTTGGGTAAGATATGTGATTAGAGAATTACATTTGTGGGGGGAATTGGTTTCTCGAAGATGGGTCTCCAAGAGAAGATTGTGATGGAGGACTCAAAGTCTGCAGCACCCATTTGAGTGAATCTAGCAAGGAGGAAGTGAATAAAGATAGAGAAAGCAGAGAGCACGAGGCCAAACAGGCCAACCCATTTCATCTTTGACTTCATTTTCAGTTCCCCTTTCATTGAGAAGTGAGAGAAAATGTCTCACTGTTTCTCTCTCTTGAGAAGAGGAACAGAGAAGAGAAGAAGGAAGTATGGAATAGTCAGAATGCGAAAAGCAGTGGGATTGAAAAGGCACGTGTTAAAGCATGTTTTCTTCTGTCTTCATACTCAGTCCACAAACAAGAGAGTCTTTTGTTTGTTCGAGTTGGATCAGCTTCTCGATCTTCTTCTCTTTCTCTTTCTAATTTTTTTCTTTTCAGAATTTGTTTTGCATTTTTTCTGTTCCTCCCAACAAAATTTAGCAGTTTCATGGACATGGAAAGGGATCCTGCCTGCGCCCTTGTCTAGCTAGCTAACCAATGAACACAGAGCAGGTAAATCTTAACTTTTATATGATGTTTATTTAAGAAAACTGTTTTTGTTCATAAACAATTTTTGTAAATAACTCTTATCAGAATACTTATGACTGCGGTTTTGATTAATAATATTTATGTAATTAAAAAAATATTTAAATTATTTTGGCAACAAAAATGCTAATGTAAGTATGTTTTGATGAATAGGAGTCATAATATTATGTAATAATTTCCCTAAAAAAGAGGTGGTGAGATATTAAATTTTATTTTCTTTTTGAGAAAAAAAAAACTTAGGTTGTACTGGGAATAATATTATGATTTTCTATGGATTGATTTAAATTGCTTTTGAATAAAAAAAAGTAATCTAATGAATGAGGTTATATTTCTTAATCAGATTTATTGATTAAAAAATATATAATGGACAATAAATTACTTCACTTCGAATTAATCATCATATGAATATTTAAAATTTTAACTTTAAAGTTTAATTCAATTTCAAGTATTTGATAAATTTAGATATTTTAAATTTAAGTTTCTATTGATTTTTTTATTTACTGAGTATTTTAAAAATGTATATTGTTTAATTGAGTTCATATTTATTTAATTTATTTTTTAACTAGGTGACTTGATTCTTCTTTTATTTAATAAACAATGGTATTTTGACACTTCAAACCTTTTATTTTCATTTTACATTATCCTTCACTATTTTTTATTTTTTATTTTCCTTTTTACAAATACAAAAGTTTACTCTCTTTTTTCTCATGATCATGTTATCTACATAAGTGGTCAAATGGTATCAAACAATATTTTACCTCACCTTATTATCTTGCTTAATTGTCTCTAAAATATTATTTTATGTAATGTTAATGTTAAACAATGTTATTTTACAGTATACATAGGTTTTTATTGTTAGATAAATATAAACAAAAAAAAAAGAAAGCAAATTAAAAACCGGACTACTGTATTGAGAGACTGTCAAACAACAAAACAAACATGAAAAGAGATTGAAAAGAAAGTGAAAATTTTAATTGAAAAATATAAAAGTTTTGTAAGAAAAAAATTAACTCAATTGACAATATCCAATTTGACTTAAACATTAATTAAATTTATTTTTCAAATAAAAAATAAATTATTAAGGTTAATAAACATTGACTTCGATTAAGTTTAAAAAACTATAAATTCCGCGAATTTTATTTCATAAAAATAAAATTAAGAAAGACCGCGAAATATAGTTTAAATAAAAACTGTGTTTAATAACGCAACAATATTTTTAATTACTACTTATTTTTAAATCATCCTATATGATAATTTCTTAATCTTATAAAGTTTTATCTCTATGATAATTTCTAAGTGATTGAAAATATAAATTATTTTTCACATTACCATTATTGAGACGGGCCACGTGCGGTGACGGTGAGACCCAAGGAAAAGGACATAAGCTTATCTGGTATTTTGATTGTGATTTTTCGACCAGAAGTAGAATTTTATTTATAAATAATTTTAGTGCAATTTATATTGTATGAATTATGAAAAAGAAACATTAACTTTAACTAAATAACCATGCTAAAACACTAAACTTTGTATATAAGTTGTTTAAAAATTGTATTTTTACAGGAATAATACTGTTTAGTTAATTCAACTTTAAAATTATCAAAACAGAGCGTCATTTTTAGTTTTCTTTTAAATTATCAAATTACATTCATATAATTTTTAAAAGTAAACTAATCAATATTTTTAACTGCATGGAATTAAATCATTATAAAGAGACAAAGTTCCATCTTTTAAATATTTATAAAATTATATGAAAATGTGTAACATCCCAAAAATACAGTCTAAAACTATATGATAGAATAATTACATTGAATAATATTACAGATCAGTCTTACATTAAAGAGAACGTACGGCCGTGGCCGAACGGTCTTACAGAAAGACTAGAAAATTAAAAATCGAACGTCATAAGTAATTTTGACCGAATGGTTTACAAAAGCCTATATCGAACGGTCAACACAAAAGCAAAGGGAAAAGGTGATCGAGCGATCACCTTACTATCAGACTACTATTGATCGAACGGTTCTACTGCTCGGTCTTAACTTCTACCTCTACTAAGTTATCTTCCTCCAGTGTCTCTTCCAGTAGCTCGTCTCCTTTTGCTCACATCCACACGGATGATCATTGCAACAGAAGGACAACCGAACGTACAAAACAAACAAGACAGGAAACACAGGGTAAGCTTATATAGTTTAATTCATGTATAAACATATATTTCACACAATCAACCAAATAAGATAAATTCATCATTCGTTCATACAAAGCCTAATACTAGACTAATTGTCCGGACTGTATGAAATCTGTGTAGCTATGACATTCGTGCACCCGGGTGATGTAGTAACTGGGATACCCTCAACAGCTGTCACCCGAGGTTAATCCTATATGTCCAAATTAACCATAAGGACTAGGACCTCCTGTCGTTCCCACACATGACTTACCCTCTCTACGTGAGGACGAGTAATCACGGAACATCAGGATGACCCACCAGCTTAGCATGTCCACATTCATACTTTACCAATTCCAATATACATTTATGAGTCATTCCTCCCCGGAACGCTCGTCCATAATCCAAAACATTTCATCCATATCATATTCTCTTCATCTTTCATGTTTAATCATTTCAATTTCACCTTTGTACAAAGATTATTAAGGACACCAAATACCGAACTTTCAATCCTAACTCAGAATGAGAACGAACACTTGGAGCGAGACAGAGAAGTATCTAGTTCCAGAACAGATTAAGACCGAGAGGGTTAATATCGGGTTGAGAAAGAAACCGAGTACAATCATATATCACAAGAACGACTAGAACGAACGTTACTTACAAAGTGAGTCAATTAAATGAACTGACTCTTGAGAGCTCAAACCGAACACCGCAAAGACTATGCCAAGTGCTAAGACTCTAGGCCGAAACCAATGAATACGGAAACTTGAAAGAATAATACTTAGAAGAATTCACATGAAGAAACCGTACGCTTATAAATACTTAGCTTATTTGAATTCACATCAAGAAAATCGAATGTCAGTCAATGACCGAGCACAGTAGAGAGAACTCTATTGAAGTTGGACGAACACTATTTTCATCAAGATAGATTATAAAAGAAAAGAGAATGCGCGCTTGGTGTAAGACCGAACACTACTCAGTACGAGCGCTTGGTGTAAGACCGAGCACTACTCAATACGAGCGCTTGGTATAAGACCGAGCACTACTAAACTTACAGTAGAAGACTTGATAAATATAATAATATACGATTTGGAATATNAACCCCAAAATAAATCACAAGTTTTGTCAGCAGAAAATTCAATATCAAATAGACCAGTACAAAAACCTGTGATTTTTCAAGCAATAGAAATGACAGCATAGCAAAAAGATGAAACATGGAACTCACCAGCATAATTTCCTTGCGGATTTGAATCCGGATACAGTGATTCAAGACGCTTCACCGGACCCCATAATCTTCTGTGAGAGGGACTCTGCAGCACAAATAACAAGAACAAATATTTGAAACAGAAAAATAAAGGGACAAAGAACAAAATTAAAAAAATATCGACAAATGAAAACATAGTCCAAAAGCACATTGGCCAATGAATCGAATACATAGGAGCGACACCGTGCTCCAAATTCAGTTAAACGTGGCAACCGACTGATCCGAACCAATGAACAAAAGCAACGCTGTTAAGCTTATTTCCATGAAAAAGGAGAAAAACAGAAACCAGCACAGCATCTAACTACAGAGCCACACGCGGAATATGACAGGGAATGTTGTCCCTTTGTCATTTTCCGGAGCACAAAGCCAAAACTTCGAACCAACAACAGTCCCTAGAATGTTGGGGATACCAGAGCAATGCAAAGGTAAAACCCCACTTGAAATTGTAGAAAAAGGTGAGATCTTTGGGTAAGATATGTGATTAGAGAATTACATTTGTGGGGGGAATTGGTTTCTCGAAGATGGGTCTCCAAGAGAAGATTGTGATGGAGGACTCAAAGTCTGCAGCACCCATTTGAGTGAATCTAGCAAGGAGGAAGTGAATAAAGATAGAGAAAGCAGAGAGCACGAGGCCAAACAGGCCAACCCATTTCATCTTTGACTTCATTTTCAGTTCCCCTTTCATTGAGAAGTGAGAGAAAATGTCTCACTGTTTCTCTCTCTTGAGAAGAGGAACAGAGAAGAGAAGAAGGAAGTATGGAATAGTCAGAATGCGAAAAGCAGTGGGATTGAAAAGGCACGTGTTAAAGCATGTTTTCTTCTGTCTTCATACTCAGTCCACAAACAAGAGAGTCTTTTGTTTGTTCGAGTTGGATCAGCTTCTCGATCTTCTTCTCTTTCTCTTTCTAATTTTTTTCTTTTCAGAATTTGTTTTGCATTTTTTCTGTTCCTCCCAACAAAATTTAGCAGTTTCATGGACATGGAAAGGGATCCTGCCTGCGCCCTTGTCTAGCTAGCTAACCAATGAACACAGAGCAGGTAAATCTTAACTTTTATATGATGTTTATTTAAGAAAACTGTTTTTGTTCATAAACAATTTTTGTAAATAACTCTTATCAGAATACTTATGACTGCGGTTTTGATTAATAATATTTATGTAATTAAAAAAATATTTAAATTATTTTGGCAACAAAAATGCTAATGTAAGTATGTTTTGATGAATAGGAGTCATAATATTATGTAATAATTTCCCTAAAAAAGAGGTGGTGAGATATTAAATTTTATTTTCTTTTTGAGAAAAAAAAAACTTAGGTTGTACTGGGAATAATATTATGATTTTCTATGGATTGATTTAAATTGCTTTTGAATAAAAAAAAGTAATCTAATGAATGAGGTTATATTTCTTAATCAGATTTATTGATTAAAAAATATATAATGGACAATAAATTACTTCACTTCGAATTAATCATCATATGAATATTTAAAATTTTAACTTTAAAGTTTAATTCAATTTCAAGTATTTGATAAATTTAGATATTTTAAATTTAAGTTTCTATTGATTTTTTTATTTACTGAGTATTTTAAAAATGTATATTGTTTAATTGAGTTCATATTTATTTAATTTATTTTTTAACTAGGTGACTTGATTCTTCTTTTATTTAATAAACAATGGTATTTTGACACTTCAAACCTTTTATTTTCATTTTACATTATCCTTCACTATTTTTTATTTTTTATTTTCCTTTTTACAAATACAAAAGTTTACTCTCTTTTTTCTCATGATCATGTTATCTACATAAGTGGTCAAATGGTATCAAACAATATTTTACCTCACCTTATTATCTTGCTTAATTGTCTCTAAAATATTATTTTATGTAATGTTAATGTTAAACAATGTTATTTTACAGTATACATAGGTTTTTATTGTTAGATAAATATAAACAAAAAAAAAAGAAAGCAAATTAAAAACCGGACTACTGTATTGAGAGACTGTCAAACAACAAAACAAACATGAAAAGAGATTGAAAAGAAAGTGAAAATTTTAATTGAAAAATATAAAAGTTTTGTAAGAAAAAAATTAACTCAATTGACAATATCCAATTTGACTTAAACATTAATTAAATTTATTTTTCAAATAAAAAATAAATTATTAAGGTTAATAAACATTGACTTCGATTAAGTTTAAAAAACTATAAATTCCGCGAATTTTATTTCATAAAAATAAAATTAAGAAAGACCGCGAAATATAGTTTAAATAAAAACTGTGTTTAATAACGCAACAATATTTTTAATTACTACTTATTTTTAAATCATCCTATATGATAATTTCTTAATCTTATAAAGTTTTATCTCTATGATAATTTCTAAGTGATTGAAAATATAAATTATTTTTCACATTACCATTATTGAGACGGGCCACGTGCGGTGACGGTGAGACCCAAGGAAAAGGACATAAGCTTATCTGGTATTTTGATTGTGATTTTTCGACCAGAAGTAGAATTTTATTTATAAATAATTTTAGTGCAATTTATATTGTATGAATTATGAAAAAGAAACATTAACTTTAACTAAATAACCATGCTAAAACACTAAACTTTGTATATAAGTTGTTTAAAAATTGTATTTTTACAGGAATAATACTGTTTAGTTAATTCAACTTTAAAATTATCAAAACAGAGCGTCATTTTTAGTTTTCTTTTAAATTATCAAATTACATTCATATAATTTTTAAAAGTAAACTAATCAATATTTTTAACTGCATGGAATTAAATCATTATAAAGAGACA